TGAAAGATGGAACCTGATTATTATCTATATAGATACATGTATATATCTATATAAGATAGATATATACTGTCAGAGGCTTGCAGTATAAGCAGAGGGAGAACCACTTATAACCCTCAAATGTTACCTAGCTGCTGAATTAGTGAAGCTCCAAAGTTGCTCTGGCAGGCAAACAAAACCACCACTCAGTGGAACGTGGATGCCTAAAGGCCTTTGACTTTCAGGGCTACATGTCATAAACTTACTACACATGCTCATTACTACACTAAGTAATGAGCACAGAGCAGTTGCAATGGCTTTGTCTGGTCCTGTAAGCAAGTACACTTAGTCTTGATTCCTATTTCTCTGAGAGGCCTCCAATGGAATTCAGATTTTGTAAATGAGGGATGATCTGGGGACTTATTTCCCTTGTCAGTCTTTACTGACACATTTTCTAAGGCTGATCTCAGAGCTGATGTTTTTCAGAGAAGATACAAGGCACAGTCTTGACTTTTTACCATCATAAAATGTCACACAATGGTATTTGCAAGAGAAGGTGTGTCCTCACTCCTTACTACAAAGCCAGTAATTGCATGTTCTGAGTACAAATGGACCATGGATGAGGTGATAAGCAGCCATCCTGCCTGAGCACATGACAGGTCAGTCTTTTGGGAACAATGTCCTCTGGAATGGCTTGATACATAGTTTGCAGGGCTGTTTTGTATTACTGCACACTAGGGATAATATATTCTAAAGCATAAGTCAAGCCTCTCAAGTCCTCTGCATTGCTGGGGGAACAGAAAAGACAGAAAGGGCTGAGAGATGCTAAGACCCAAAACAAGCTGATTTTAGCCACCAGTGGAGGTGAACACCCCGCTTTGTTTTCTTCTCTGGTTTGCCAGAGTTCTCCAAGGAAATCATACTTTATCTGTCAATTTCTGAAAGCAACACAATTTCTCTACTTGGTCATGATGTTATTCTGTTTTTAATTGCACTTTATCAAATAAAAAATGATGTCATCTACAGCAAAACAAAACAAAGTTGCCAGTTATTAAATGCTTTTTGTATCCAATTCCTCTATAAGTACCTTATTTTCTCCAGTCATTTTCAAGATTTCAGGCTAGGATCACCACAGACTCTTATATCATATTATTTTCCTACCATGAAGTTGTTTATGTGTATTGTTTACCCAACAGACATTTCTCTTTCACTTGGTATATTCATTACTAAATAATTCTGTGAGAAGATACAGGCCACTGATTTTTTGCAATTTGCATCCCCATACTCTAAGCTATGTTGAAAGCAAAGCTTTTTGGTCCTCTTGCTTTGGGAGTACATTAATATTTCTATGACCTTTACTAGATGGCAGATGAGAAGCATTAGGAATAAAATAACAAATAAACCAAAGGAAACCAATTTTTTAAAATGTGTGTTTCTGAAAGGAGCTATGGGAAAAAGAGTCTAGTCTAAAAAATATGAACTTTAGCTAGAGTTATGATAATTGTTCTATTGTACCTATTTTTCCATGTCAAAATGCTTCTTTACAATCAATCCACTCAACATAATGCAAAAATGTATTTGAAGGGGTTTAGTAGCTGTGCATACAAAAATATATGGATATTGAAGATATTTAGAAAGAAATAGAGTATTTTAAGACATGATTATTTACTGTGCACATCAAAGTGATCATATTAAAAGCATGGTCATTATACTAACAACTACTTTACACAAAATGGCGTCAAATCATTCAACTTCCAAAGTGTGATGATTATAAAGAGAAATTCTGTAAAACAAGCTGCAAATGTAGTGACTTCGTGTGTGGTGTAAATCCTCTGCTTTAGAAGACTATACTTTCTGAAGGCTTTAGAAGACTGTAGGAGGAAAACCAACTAAATTCTACCCAGGAAGCCATTTCTCTCACAGCAGCATTGTTTTTCAGCGGTTTTACTACATACCGGAAGCCTACTCTGTTCCTGTTCATCTAGTTGTCGATGCCATAACTCAAAGGAACAGATCCAAAAATCATTTTTAGTGACTTTAAATTTGACTGCTTTATGAACTCCATGTCTAGATTAACAACATCTGTGATTCAGCAAGGCATTTAACAGATGGAAAGCAAAAGTTGTCCCATGAACTAAAGTATTTGTTCACTGGTTTCCAGCTGGAGGCAAAGCTGCGATTATTTAACAACAATTCATTACCCTTTTAACATATACTTTATAGCATATACCACAGTATCAAGTGAAAGGATATTCAGGGGAGGGGAAGATGTGTGGATTATTTCTCCTTAGGATAGTGTGAAAGAGTCAGAACATTTTAAAACAGCAATAACCAGATCTTCATACCTCGAATCATATGAATCTGGAAGGGTTCAGATTAAACCAAGTGCTGCTAGTTACGGGATTGACATGATGGCAAGAATCCCCTTCTGTCTTTACTAGCAATGCTCTTGGAGCCAGTAGAATCAGGCTAGACCTTACATTGAATGTGTCACATACCTATTTTTTAGTTATTACTTTTGTAAGTTCTTCTACAGGAAAAGTTTCCCTCCTTGAGGTTTCAAGGAATACTACCTGATAATTTTAGGTATGAAATATAGTTTTATTATAAGCATAAGAATTTATTAATGAAAAAAAAGAAAGTTTGAAAACGTTTGTTTTTGTTTTAGTTTATTTTAAGTGAAATGAGGGACCTCTTTATAGTTTGGATACAAGGATTTCCCCTCCATTTGGTCTTTAAGTCCTTGAGCTTTTTGCTCTTTGCTCAAGTTTTCAGAGAAACTGAAAGTAACTAGAAATGGACTTTGAAAATATCTTTTCTCCCCACTGTTTTGTTTTTAAATAAATTTCCTCATTTTGATCTATCTGTATGGAGAAGTGTAAATAATTTTTACTTTATTTTTTTTTTTACAATTTTCATTTATCTAGAGAATTTCTAAGACACATCTTTCACTCATTAGATGTAGAGATTCTGACTCTTGACTAATGTGTAAAGTCAGAGGACACTATGCAGAGTTATCCAGCTGAGAACCAACGTAAATATAGTTTATCCTTAGAATATTGTGCTTTAATTATGCCTTGTGTAAAATGTTTTTATACATAAAAACATTATATCAATATGAACTTACTGAAGTGATGACACCTGTCTTTGCAGTCAATGTTCTCAGCCCACTAATGGTGTAAAATATAATCAGTTTTCATCTGCTAGTTTGAATGGAATCAAAGTTTCTGTTCGGGATATAGCTGTGATACTGCATTGTATTGCACAAAGACAGTTTCTACACTTCTACCCAATCTCATATCACTCCCTTTGCACTGCAGAATTGGGACTCTGAAAGTTTTAATTGGAATCCTTCTCAAGCATATAACAACATAGACTTTGTAACCAGTAACAAATTTGCAAATATTTTTATGTGGTACTTAATAATTCAATAGAAATAAACCAAATTTGTAAAAGAGACTATGTTTTCATCTAGAATAGTCACTAGCTTGCATACATATGTAGCTTCAAATGGACAAGCAAAAAGGCAAAGGCAGGTTGCAACCTTCCATTACCTGTACATATGCTTTAATTTAACATGTATATATGCAAGGTTTAAATTTAATGCATACAAAGATACTAACCAGATGACAGTATCTCTTTTAAAAAATCTGGGACTGGTGATTTTTGCATGATGAAAATATAGAAAGTTAGAAGTGTAGAAGTTTCTGTATAGGTCAGACATTTCAAGAACTGGAATCTTTCTGCCCCACTTCAGGATAAACAATCTGCTGCAGTCTTATTGGGAGAAATGGTATACCCTAGTGTCTTGCTTATCTGTCATCTCATATTCCCTAGGGGCTTGTATATCCTCTGTGACTGAGATTTGCACAGCAATGTCAGGGATTTGGATGCTCCGTTCCCATTATTGTTGCTGAGGATCTAATCCCTTTGTTAAGGGATGTTAGTTCTTTCTGCGGATTTTCTGTCTTTTCTGTGGTTTATGTTCCCTACCTTTCAGTATTTCCAATGAGTCTTCAGTCTGCTCTTGAAAAGGCCTTTCACCGTTGGTACACTTTATAATCCTTCACAGAAACCTCTTCAGTGGCTATGGGAAAGCTTTTTCTTACAAAGTTGTTACACACAACCTCAAAAGCTTGGAGAAGCTGTACTGGGGAAAAGCAAGCAGGAGAGGTAGCAGAGCAGAAATATAGATTGCTTGGATAATACCAGAGACCTTGGAACAGAAACTTCTGAGGAAGCTGCAATGCTGTCTGAATAAGAATAAACTATTTGGACTATTTTGGCCCCTGGAGCACAGTAGAAGTCCCTGACCTATAAATTTGCATTTGATCTTCTCTTTCTCAGGGATGCTCCTTCCTCATGTTATGTACACCGATATCAGAAAATAAAAGAATGCCAAGACAATTGCTTAAGCACTGGTCCTCCATCTTCCCTATTTAACTGTTTTCAGATTAAACCTAAAAGAATTTAACCACGGATGCAAGGCACGCAGTCTTAATTAGCCTCCAAATCAGAGAGCATAACCTGGCTCCTTTCATTCACTACAACACACAAAGCCAGTACACGCAAAGGTTAAAATCTCACTCTGTGACATTTAATCATCTTTGCAAGGCACACTTAGGACAGCTGATGAGAAGGCCTGCTGCTCTGTAATGACTTCATTGTTGATAATACATTCACATATGTGTGTCCACATGTGTGTGTGTACACAAAATGTTTATGTCAATGGATGGAACAGCTACGGTATTATTTTCAACCGTACTTAAAAAGGCAATCCAGTACAGAAGACAAGCTTCAAGCCTTTGACTTACGACTTGTGTTTTTAATATGGTTTTAACTGTCTATGTTAGTAAGTCATAAATATGAGAATAATGCACTAAGGATAACCACAAACACCCACTTCTATGTTATTTCATTTTTGTTCCGTATTTAAAATGTCCATGCATCTTCAAACATTTCCCTCCTTCTCACTGTCAGTCACTGAGGCTCTCAGTTACCCAGGTGAAAAGGACTGACACATTCTAAATTGTAAAGGTTTCTTGTTCTGCCTTGTTGAAAGAATTCTGAGGACCAACTGGAGTAAACACTTGAGAAAAAAGTCCTTGGTGCTTATACTGAGACAAGCTTCCACGTTTTGCTATGTATCTGCAGTCACAAAAAAACAGGGAAAAAAAGACTTCTAAAGCATGTCCTCATATTACTAAACATTCTCTCTTTTCCCCTCTCACTGCTTTCTTCATAAACACTTACGTCCATTGGTCTCAGAGAATTAACAATTTGTAATATTCCATAGTGTTAGAATCAGCTGTCTTAAGAACAGTGGTGGTAAATCTTCCTAAAAGTTTTAAATTTTCCTTTCTGGACATATGTAAGAAGCTGTAATAGCAGCTGTAACAGCGTGTGTTCTGCCTCTCACTTCTTTTCAGCACTTCTTGAAAACATACACACACATACACACACACATAGATACACACAGTTCTCTCACAACTAACTTGCACAGTATGTACGCAGAACTGCCATGAGCATGCTGAATGCTTTCAAGCACATAACCACATCATCCAGTGATGCCTGGAGATCATGATGGAGATCTGACTTTCAAGCCTTCTAAAAATACTTTTTTTGGCACCATTGCATGCCTGCTTTAAATGCCCAGTTCTCATAGTCAACACAGAACTGACCACAGAGTTTTATGTTCATTCACTCTCCAAAAAAAAATATTTCTTTTTTACCTAAAGGTAGCTTTTGAAATCTTCAATGCTACTTGCTGAAAGGGCACAACCTTTCTCTCAAAAATCAAATTAAATCTAGCACTATCTTACATTAGCCATAGTGAAGCCAATGAGTTTCCATACAACTTGAGGTGCAATTGGATTTGTATTTCTGTGAACCACTGGTCAGTCCTTTTAAACACAAAACAAAAAACACATAAAACGTTCCTTCCTATGCAAAAGCTACACAAATCTGCCAGAATTTAATTGCTCAAAGGGATTTTGAAACCTAATTTTCTGATTTCACCTTGGGATTACCTGGATATAAAAATACAATAAAAACACATCAATAAAGCATGACATATAAAAATGCTATTCATGTTCAAAGATGAAGAAATCATATTTCTACTGTGTCATATCCTATACAATCTTGTTGACTTCCAAATGCTTCACAATTGTTGTGCACGATTTTGCCCCACATACTGTAGGAGCACGATGCAATAGAAACACAGTGCAGACGTGGTTGCATGCTGCCTTCTGTATCTGATATTGCTGATACTTTTGACAGGAACATTTATTAGGCCATGTTAGCAGAAGACAAGAGATTCCCTCTGATACCCGTAACTGTCTTCTGCAGACTGACCATATGTTGTGGACATGTTAAATAAAGCAGCTATAAAATATCCGCCACATGCAATCACTTGCTACTTTCTGAGAAATTGTTACAATCATGGCTTGAGAATGATCAAAGACAACAAAAAAGGGGCCACCATTTTAAAAACTGTTAGAATGAGATCATGTCCTACATGAAAAGCACATGGAGGTGAAGTGGGGTAGTCTGACTCCAAATTCCATCAATAATCTCTCTTCTCTTCACCTCTCCACTACAGTCTAGCTTGACCTGGGATTATTGAAATCAGCAGGATTTTTTATAATTTATTTTACAAGGGGAAAGAATCAAATGTTAAGCTTCTCTCTTTTATGGGCATCACTAACTAATGTTGAGGGGAGATTCTCAGCATCACTCATAGGTTTACATAGCAGTTTCATAGAGGACTAGAACCTTCCATCTTAACTCAGTGATTTTTAACACTAATTTACTCCACAAGTAGGACCAGAGAAAGTAAAATAGATCTGTTAAAATTTTGCAACCAGGGATACTGCCTACTCAGGGGAATGTACAACACTGCGGTGTTTTAGGAGACAGGGTGGAGAGCAAATCAGGTTGTGGGGTTAGAGCAGGGAGTGAGGGGAAAAAAGGACGTCAGACAAGAAGGAAGAAGATCCCTGAAGAGGCTCAAGTCAGCTCTCCTGAGGTGCGTAGTTCTGATCTTCCATGCTGCCCTGCTTCCTCCTCCCCCAGTCCTCAACTCCACTCTTAGGAAGAAGAAAGTGCGCTCGCAAAGTCTGTAGGGTAGTCGCAATTTGCAGTAAGAAGCAGTAAGTTACTGGTGGTTCAGTTGTTGGCTACCAAGTGGTGCCCTTTGGCCAGAGACAGGGGGACGGATCATCAGCAGAGAAGGTCTCAGGTGGCCACGTCCTCCGTTTTGAAGTGTGCTGTGGCCTCCGTTTTGAAAAGCGCCAGTGACCTTCCGAGCCCCCTCCTAAGGACATAATGGGGGATACTGAGCAGGCGTGTCGGGAAGCCTGTCGCTCCGGAGTGTGTCAGCCAGTGGAGAAATCCTGGGGAGGGAGCAGCGCTGCGGGCGAAGGGGATAAAAGGGGCCTGCGACCTCCACTGAGTTGAGAGGCCTCCCTGAGATTTGTTCAGTGAACTCTCCCTTTCATTGGAATAAAAGTTTATTCTTCTTACTTAGCTCCTCTGCCTCCTGGTATTGATGTGTTTCCCAATACCTGGAATTTCAGAATACCACAGTCCCATGGTCTCTACAGCCAAGGCTGTCCCTTGCCTTCCCATCTCCAACAAGGCCTTTCCTGTGTGTTAGTATGAGGTGGAGCAGCACAGCATTCCTTGTGAGAGGCATCACCCCCTTGGGTCGGGAAGCTGTTGTCACTGCTTTCTAGGAACCTCCCGGGCTGTTTGTACTTGGCTGTATTGCTTTTCCAGCTGCTCTCAGGGTAGTTGAATGCCCCACGAGAGCCAGGGACTGTGACTTTGAGGCTGCTTCAAGCTGCCTGTAGAGCTCTCATCCCCATCCTGCTGCTGCTCAGGAGGCCCGCGGTGTCCCCGCAGTGCCCTCAGCAGTGTCCCCATCCCCAGCCTGCCCTTTGATCCTGACCCATCGAGTCCCAAGTGGCTCGCCATCCACCCCTCGACAGAGCTCAATACATTCCAAGTGCTGTCTCCCTACAGGTGTCGTCCCCCTGGACTTCTGTGAGGCCCTGCATTATGGTTCCCAGCACATTCTTCCCTCTCCCTTACCGCCCCTGTCCAATGCAGCCCCGGGGTAGCCTGGAGCAGCTCTGTCTGGGGCTGCAGTGGGATGACTGGGGACACGGTGGGCTCACTGGGAGCAGCGGGAGCAGCCTTCTAAAGCCCCAGAGCGGGAGGACAGTGCCCAGGCTGTGCTCAGGGCTGCTTTCAGCGTGGGGCCCTGTGCGCGAGTCCTGCACGGACCCCTCTGTCCTGGCTCCCATGCCAAAGGGCTGCTTCCCCGGGGGAAGGGGGCCCTCCATGAGTGCCTGCACCTCCGGCACCGACTCAGGCCTGGAGTGCCCTTTGGGTGCCCTTGGAGCCCTTTGAGCCTTAGTGGATCTCCTTGGTACCATTTCCCGCTGCCGCCCTGCACTCCCTCCCCATTCCACGCAGACACAGACAGGTTATGGAATAAAATCTTTTAATTGATAACCAGAAGAAAACGGTCATCAATATCTACATCTACATCTACACTACATCTCTATCTCCATCTCTATCTACATCCCTATCTACACAAACACTCTCCCTCCCTCCCTCAGATTGGGAGAGATCCCCAAACGATCTATCCCTCCCACTGGGACAGATCCCCAAACGATCTGTCCCTCCCACTGGGACAGATCCCCAAATGATCTGTCCCTCAATGACTTTCTGCCCCAGCCCTGGCTGGGTGGTAAAACCTGCTCTACAACCTCTGGATATGAAAGTCGGGAGATTCTGTCCTGCTTGTGGAAAGTATTCATTAGCACAGAACAAGAACCCTGTTCTTGATATCCGTTAAAAATGAAGAAAATTCATCCACTATTAATTACACCCACAGTAACATCTGTGTAAAGTAAAAGGAAGTAACTGATGTGTTTTCCTTAGATCACAGTGGCACCTGTCTTTTTGCTTTTCAAATCTGGTACCTATCTGAAGTCTGTCAATAATCTTTGCTAAGATGCCGTTGCCTTTTTATTTGCCTGTGACATTTACAAGCAAATTAGTGTTGCATCAGGCTGGTACGAGTACAGCTTTATTAGCCTACAGAGACTCAGGACTTAGTTGCATCTTTTCATTCCCTGTCAACAACAACCCTTGACTACAGATGACTGCCTATTTTCCAAGTTTAACCACAAGAGAGAAAGAGCAGAGGTGACATGGATGGGCATGGATGGCAGCAGAATGGAAATCAGTGCATTCATCACAATGATGAAACACTTGATGAGGTGAATTTTTTAAAAGCCATGAAGCTCGCTAAATCTCCTCAAGACTTTTCTGGATACTTTTCACTGGCAGTGCTGAAAAAGAGTGTGATGTGTTGTGAACAGAATTCTAAGGCCAATGAAACAGTTTAATTAGAAGATAAATTTCTCAGGAAAACGTGGAAACTTGGGATAGTGTCACCATATCCCAGATCATTACAGATAACAAGAAAACACAGTATAAAGCACAAAATCATAAAGGAGAGAGGAAAAACAAATAGTTACTAAGCTGTTCCAAAGCTTTTGGAAGAAAGGCTAGGTTGGTCCTCTGGCAGTGCCAGAAGCTCTTTGTACTAACAACAGGAAATTAATTTTTCAGTTGTTCTGATGTGTCCAGGTCTTTTGAAACCAAGAAATTATCCATCTAAGGACTTATGTTAGCTCATAGTTTTAAAAAGCCTTGTATGGAAGAGCAAGAGAGAATAAATATTACTGATTCACTTCATGAGGCAGCCACAGTAGTCATGGGGAGCTATGATAATTTTGTAGTCACAGGGTCCTGGGCTGCATCAGTGTGGTGGCATGGCATGATTTTGCCTCTCACTGCCCTTTAAGTAAAACCATTGATTTTTAACAACTATTTTTGTATAGAAAATACCCATTTCATAAGTGTGCCAACATCAGTTTAGAAACTTCACACAGTTTTCTTTTGGGACTTTGTAACTTTGACATTCATTACCCTTTTCGAAAACACAGAGATTAGTTATATATAAAACCAAAAACGCATACTTACGATGTTCCAGAAAAATTCTAAACCTTTAAAAGAATTTCAGATTTGCATCACAATAATGTGGTGGGATCCAATCCCAACTGTTCTGTATTTTTTAAACCAATAGAATATCATGCTTAACATTTAATTGTTCTTTAACTAAATAAATACAATTACGTTTTTCCCATAATCTTTCTGAACAAGCTGAGAAATATACCTCATACCTACCCATGCATTCGTGCAATTACTGATGGGGTTGTTGATGGAAGATTAGAATTTCCCAGGTGAGTTGCTGATCAATGAACCTTGCCAGTGTATCCAGGGATAGTTGGAGTGCTAAAGGAAACAGTTAAAGGGGAGTGGAGGTGGAGAAAGGGTAAATTAAATGACTAGAGGCTTGAAATATAACTTATGGGTCAGTTCTAAAATGGTTAGTGTTTATCAAAGATGGATGGGGTAAAATCTCTTCATAATATAATCCTTAGTCCTCAGAATGTATCAACTGGCATAGCTTCTTTAAGGTCAGGGAAACGACTTTATTATGATCTAGCTGAAAATCTCTGGTTAGACATGGCGAAAGTGATTTCTTTAGAGGTTTTTTTTTTTCCCAATTTGTTTAGGTTTAATATCTGTATGATATTCATGATTACAAGCAACATTCAATCACAAAGAAGAAATGAAGTCACAGGGTTTGCAGAAAGCACAAAAAGTAAGAAAATATACTTTAAAAATGTAATAGAGATTTAGCTCATATTTAGTTTCCACCTTCAGTATGGAATTTAGATAGCAGACTTTATGCCAACAGGTGTGATTTTTCATGAACTAAACCACAAATGGTTTTCCAAATCATTCTACAGTTCTCTAAATTTCCCCTAGAATTTATTAAGATGTAATATTAACAACACTGCTAAGACATATCAACTTAAATTCTAGTTCTAGTGCACCAGTGGATGGAGACAGTAAGTGCCACATCTTGGAAAACTAAAGCCTTTTGTTAATTCTAATGGTAAGTTTTAATGTGAAAATGAAAAGCAGAGTTCCTTAAAGAGATGGAGTAAAAAACTTCTACTTATCTGAGGTAGTATAACAGAAAATTTTGATAACAACTACTGCAAGATGAAGTGAAGATGGACAAAATTAAAGAAAAATTAGGTACTAATATGAATTCAGACAAATAATCCATGAATATTAGAAATAAAACAATATAAATTCCCAATATGGTACTTTTTTTGCAGCTCAAAGTTATTCAGAGAGTATCATCAATATTGTTCTATACTGACAGCTCAAGATAGGACACTGTTGAAGTATACAGACACAGATTGCCCATACACATGGAGATAAAGGCTCACGGCAGGTTGTTGCATCCACTGAATCAACTAAATATTTGGCATTATACACCTTGTCTCCATTAGTCCCTTGTGGGTCTTCACACTGTACAAATGATAACAGTGCCTCCTTTAAAATAATTTCTGAGGTATTTTTTAGTTCCCCTTTACTTTGGGTAAAAATAAACAGTTCCTTTGATTATAAAGTGCATAGAGCTATTAGTTTCATACAGCTGATCAGCTACTTCTCTGCAACTAAGTTCAGCATAGGATGCAAAAATGGGCATATGTGAGTGATGCGGTTTATCAGATTTTGTGTATCTTTGACTTGAGTACTAGGAAACTTGGCTCTGAAATTCCTCCCCAGAATAGCAGAGGTAGTGACAAAATGCTGTATCTACTAACCAGGGTTATAACAAAGGACTGTGAGTGAACTATATTTGCCATGGGAACATTGGGGGTATAAGTTGTAGTCTTTGTACCCATAGTTAGCAAAAGCACAATCGAGGTCTTTGTCTTATTTTGGAGTAGCCTTGCACTAACCCATACATTTATACACTGCTATGCTCCCTGGGCCATGCTCCAGTATATGACCCTCCAGAGAAGGTGGCTTTGTAGAATCAGTACAGAAGTTTTGCAGGACTTGGTGAGTTGTTGCCTATAGGGAATCACCAATTATTTGGCTGAGCACCTAACAAATCTACTGTCTGTCTTGACAGCAGCCACACAGGCACAACAAATAGGCTTGAAAATCTAGTGTGGTAGTAGAACATATTTTCAGAATTGGCCAAAATTACTTGCATCCAAGTTTGCTTTTTCGTGTCAAAGCAGACAATTGTTAGGTTATGTGTAGATTAGGTGACTCAGTAGGAAATTTCTTCTGCATATCAGGATCCCACCAAGGGACACAATGGATACTGGGTGGCTGTGAGTATAAGCACATGCATCCATCCAAACCTGAAAACATACCTGATACCACCTTGAAGGAATCAGTCAGATTCTGAAAAGAGTTTTATTACCCTGGTGATGGGATACATCCCAAGAGACATCTCTCCCATATCATGGAATTCCCCTGACTTCCTTGAAATTGTATGGATGTCACACAGAAGAGAAGCAAATCACAACAAGTCCTATATTAACTTGCAATATTTTATAAGCCTATTTTAAGTTAACTCACGTAACAACTATACATCTGTGGAGATATTAGAATACACTGTGAGGCATCTGCTTGATAAAAACTTCTCACCTTTAAAACTTGCAAAAGTAGAAGAGAAGACAAAAGCATCAGAAATGTCCAAACATGACCCAAAAGTCAGTCTGAGAGATGATACAAGATGAAGATTTGTTGTAGACTGTCTGTTAGAAACAATTGACAGAAGTTGGTACATTGATAACACGTGGGATGGATGTAGATCTAAAAGAGAAGAGAGGTGGGCAGGGAGAAGACAAAAGTACCAGGAAAGTAAGTAAGCTTACACTAAAATAAAGCAGCTGCTCTCCTGGGAACATGCAAAGAAGATGCAAAAATGTGCTGCGGTTATGTAGGTGATAAAGCAGAAGAAACTGAGGTTCAAAAAATACTCCCTTGGGTTTTTGTTTTTTTTTTTCGATCGTGCTGTCTAGCTCTTCTGTGCTTTCTCTGATGAGCTGCTAAACCATATTGCTGCTGCTAAAGAAAACAACTAAGTGCCAACCTACCACTGGGCAACACATAAAACTCCTCTGTGGTTACGCTGTCGTCATCAAGCTTTCTTTCTCTAACCATGACATCTCTCTTGTTCATGCACTTCCTTGTTATCATCCTAGCAGCTCTTAGTCCTGACAGTGAGAAACATATAATGTTGACAGTCGAATCTGTGTAAGCACTAAGATTTTTCAATTGGACTGTAGTGATTCTGAGTGCCTCTGCTTTGGTGTGCCTCTGTTTTGTATGTCCATAGAGTCATAGAATCATTAAGGCCTGAAAAGACCTCTAAGGTCACTGAGCCCAATTGTTAACCCAGCACTGCCAAGTCCAACACCAAACCATGTCCCTCAGTGCCACATCTACATGTTCTTCAAATATATCCTGGGATGGTGACTCAGGCAGCCTGTTCCAGCACTTGACAACCCTTCCCAGGTAGAATTTTTTCCTAATATCCAATCTAAATCTCCTCTGGTGCAACTTGAGACCATTTTCTCTTGTCCTATTGCTTTTTACCTGGCAGAAGGGACCGAGCCCAACTGCCCCTCATCTGGTTTTTGGGCAGCTAGATAAGATCCTCCCTGAACCTCATTTTCTCCAGGCTAAACAACCCCAACTCAGCTCCCTCAGCTGCTCCTCATAAGACTTGTGCTCCAGATCCTTCAGCAGCTCCATTGCCCTTCTCTGGACATGCTCCAGCACCTTAGTGCTGCTTCTTGGAGTGAGGGTCCAAATCTTGAACACAGGATTTGAGGTCCAGCCTCACCATCTTGGGATGTCTTTGAAGACTTTAATTTCCTGGTAATGTTCAGGAAAAGCAGTGTGAACTTAATTTAGTTGGGCCTCCATACTGATATTTAGAGCTATTTGAGATGCCTTAAGGAATCTGAGATAATCCCCTATAGCACAGGATTCGCAGGAGATACATATTTTTCTGAAGCAGCAGCTGGTAGTGATGGTCTAGGGTGCCTCTAGGCTATTGGATGCCTAGGTTTGCCATGTAAATTCCGTGTCAGCTGTGTTTGAGGGAGCAAAATCAAGATTCCCTCAACCTTGGATTTAGCACTTCAGCTTGAGCAATGGAGCTATCCAAGTCCTTTGTGCAAAAATTCTGTCAGGTGAAAGGAATACAGTAGATTCTTACCTTGCACTTCCAAGGAAAGAGTTCCTAACATCTTACTCTTTCTTATAAACACTCCTGTATAAATATCATAGAACTAAATCACCATATTAAGTTATTAACTAGGTCTTCTTGTTACTGTAATTTTAAAATAGGCCTCTCAGATCTCATTTCCAGTACATAAGACTTGTAACTGTCTTCCACCCTAAATTCCCTTTCAGGAAGACTGACATGCCACATGTTTGTGGCCCTTCTTGATCCTATTTATCTCCATGATCCTACTTGCTAAACAGAATAACCTGTGATAAAAATGCCACAGACATGATCCTGTTTCAGGAATGCATACACTCTCTTGTGTTGGGAAAGAATATACCTGAGAATATTTGTAAAGTCAAACCAAAGTGCTTCATGCAAAGAATGGGACTGAGTTTTGAGCACTGCATTATGAGTTGCATTTCATATCCTTCTCCCTCAGCCATCAAAGCAGGATAGGGAATGGGTACTTACAAATGGATTTGGGGTTTCTAAAAGAATAAAAGCATCAAAATGGCAAGTCCCTAGAAAAAATTTGAATCTTGTTGACCTGATTTTGTTTCTACAATTTCAAACTGTTTTATTCTGCTTTCAAATTTTTCAGCCCCCCATTTTTAGTATGGGATAATAATTTTCAGAAACAGTAAAGCATTTCAAGCGAGCAATAAAATCTCATTTGAAAAATGTCAGAGTAGGATATGTCAGCACACCCCTGCCCCCTGCCTCAAGCTCACCAATGAGTCAAACTGGAAAACCACTAAAAAGGCATCCATGCTGGACAAGCTGTCATTTTCTGAAGAAAAGATACCTTGTGAGAAAGCTCTTAGGCAGCCCATGTAAATGACTGTGCAAGGTGCAAGGTACCACAGGGTCCTCTTCCCAGCTAATTGTGCCTGTGAGGTTTTTATGATAACTTGAAATTATAAGGGATGCATGCACACAGTCAATTGGAAAATGACTACACCGAAGAAATATGACCAAAGTCACTACAGATATACTGATGTGATAGTAGCATTTTGCTCGATGTGCTTGAGAAACCATGATTAAAGGGGAGTTTCAGAGAATGGCTTTGTGCAAAAACTGCAGGACTTGAAACACTTAGGACTTTATCTTCTTAGAAACCTTACGTATTAAGTTCCCATTTCAATCAAGTGCTTTTAGTCAGATCCCGTCC